TATATATGTGTGTGTGTGTGTGTGTGTGTGTGTGTAACACATAAAAGATCTTTGGCAATTAGCTATTTTGAAGTATGTGCTATCATTATATTGTTTGGCTCTATATTTTCTGTTAATACATAATAAGATTCATTATTTATTTTACCTATGACGACTGGCCTTGTATGGAGAATTATTGTTATGACAACAGACCCAGTACTGAAGTAAAGTCAGTAACAGAAAAGGAGTCTTTGTCAAAGAAATAATTTGAATGAAACCAACACATTTCAAAAGAGGCAACTTTTCCTTTGAACTCCCTCTTTTCTGGCGTATGCCAAGCTTCTTTAGAGTTCATTATGGATAATAGTACAAACTGATGTTTTGGTGTACTGAATTTGCTTTGTCCAAAACAAAATAAGACAGGCAGAGTTTTTATATCATTTAGGCAGCATTAGCTGCTGATGAACAAGCTCACACGTGCTGATCTGTATTTGCATTTACACAAGTAGAACAGTGAAAGTATGAAAATATGTCCGATGCTGTCAGTTCTAATTATAAAACTGCAACAACTGCAAAATAATTATACTTTAAACATGGAGTGGGTACAACATTTGGCTAGCTAACTACTAGAACAGTTTGAGAATTGAAGATGGATTTCTGGACAGTAAGGAATTCCACATCTGTAAAGTTTACATCTATGTCTGTGTTTAAGTTACAGACAGACAGCCATGACAGAGTTTAAGCAAACTGTGCTTACTTCTATTCAGCAGGTTCCACAGAGCTACAACCCTCCTATCCCCATCACTGCTCCCATAATGACCCCGCTGGGCACTGACCCTCAGGCACAGCCAATGTCCTCTGGGGCTCCTTCGGCCATGATGCAGGGCCAACCCGGTGTCCAGGTCCCCTACTCAGGCATGCAGCAGCAGCAGCTCTCCCCTCCACCTATGAACCCTGCAATGCCAAAGACCAGCATGGAGGGTGCACCAGGAGCACCCACTGGAGATGTGATCCAGGTAAATAACTCTCAGGTTTAACTAAATGTTAAACCATAGATTGTATATGATATACTGCAGATGGTTGTCTGGAGGAAATGATATATCTGTGTGTTTGTTTTTAATTGTCTAGCACTGCTGCTTCTTACCAGATTTTCATTGCCCCAATAGACATACCTTAGAATCAACTGTATTACATTATACATGCCCCAAAATGTATTTTGTAAAGTATTCCGTTACGTTACTCAATGAGAGTAACGTATTCTGAATACTTGGGATTACTTAATATATTATCATGCTTTTTACAACTACATGAATGTACTATTGTTGTGTGAATTATTACTTTTACTGAAGGTTACTCGCCATACCAATAGCAACTAGATTTTTAAATCTTAATATAAAATGAGTAACAGTAGGGTGGACATTAGGTAAGGCTGCACTTTTTTCAGCGATCTTCTGCGCGTATATAAGACAGGTCCGCGACTCCGAACCGTAAAGGCATAAAACCGTAAAGGGACCTCTGGCTAATACGTCGGGCTCCGTGTCGGGCTCATAGCCGAAAACTAGCTTTACTTTCTTGTCTGGGTCAACTTTCTATACATATATTATATATTTACATGCTTCTATCTCCCGTTTCTGGTGGGTGACATCTCTTACTTTTCGACTCTTTTTCTCCCTCCTCGCGCTCACAGACACATAACGGGCACGGCAGTCCATTCTCCCTGCAGCATGGACTACACTGCCCATGAGGCTACATTCTTTAGGGCGATGCCTGTAACACTCTGCCTGTTGCCTTCATATTAAATCATTTTTGTGAATAAGTTTTTGAAATTTATTCTTTTAATGATGAATGATTCACATTTTTATATTTTTGGTAAATACTAGTTGACACGCCTCTTACTTTACCCTTCAGCCTCTGCAGTCCATCCCTGCTGAGAAGATCATGAAGAAACCCATACCTGACGAGCACCTCGTCCTAAAGACTACATTCGAGGGGCTGATCCAGAAATGCTTGGCTGTAGCTACTGACCCTGTGAGTCTATGTAATGAAATTAACAGTGCAGTTCAACAAAGTGAGCCCTTAGATGAGTAACTGAGTGTTCTTTGATCTTTTCACAGCAAACTAAGAGGAAGCTTGATGACGCGAACAAACGTTTGGAGGCACTCTATGACAAACTCAGAGAGCAGACAGTGAGTATCCAGCACACCACTGCAGAGGTCAACAGTGAATCTTGCCTTTAACAAGAGTGTGAAATGGTTGTTTGATCTGTAAAATGTAAAGAAAATAGTGAAAAATTTCTCACAGCCTAAAATCATTTTCTGTATTTAAATTTAGTCATCATAAGGTTAGTGTGATACTCCATGCACACATCTGCAAGTGCCTTGATATGCTGTGAATTTACAATGTGCACATTGTCTCTAAGCAGACTAGAAAGATAATGAGAACCACTTAGTGGTGAAAGTAAATTCTGATGTTTTGCCCAATAGTCAAAACATGAAGAAATTTGACCTCCGGAGTTTAAACAACTCAGCAGATTTTCACATGAGAAGCTCCTTCTAAAAAGAGGTGTTTCATGTTTAAAGAAATAAACATATTATAAAATGTAGTCTCAGTCAAAAATTCATGCCATCAACTGCCTTATAATGACTGTTTCCCAATTGGTGTTTTGCATTGATTTGCTACAGTTGGCCATTCTACTGACGTAACTCTGCTGTTCCTCTGTGCAGCTCTCCCCTGCCATTGTAGGAGGACTGCACAACATAGCCAGGAGCATAGAGTCCCGATCCTACACAGAGGGCCTCAACATCCACACCCACATAGTGAGCAACAGCAACTTCAGCGAGACTTCAGCGTTCATGCCTGTACTCAAGGTGGTGCTGACGCAAGCCAACAAACTCGGTATCTGATGAGGCTGAAAGTGCCAGCAGCTCATTTGAGTGCTGGACCACAGGTGGAGAGAGGCCGGACATGGGTCGATCTGAGTATTAAAAAATAGTTTAACGGGAAGCTTGTTCAATGCAAGCAATGAAGAATTATGTATGAAAATACTGTTAAATTCTTCTTTGTGCCATTCACGTTTCTCAAACAGAAGCCATGCTGTCAGTTGCACTCAGTGGTGAAAGTAAATTCTGAGCCAGTTAAGGGGCTACCTATCGACTGGCTGACAAGCAGACACTAACCATTTATTTTTAAATCAGTCAACAATTAATACACAAATGTGAAAGATATGAATCAGGAATAAAAAGTGGATAAAGCAAAATAAAGATAATGAATTTTAAGGGCATTCCTGTCTGTTGATAATCAGCGAATCGTGGCAGACTCCTGATGCATGCTGTTGGCTCAAAATTTATGCAGCTGTATCGGCCTGTTCATCTTTAAAGTCTTTGAACTTTTGTGCACTACACTAATGCATATATACCTTTAATTCATAAATATATCTAAATTTTTCTCAAAACTACAAAGTAACACTTTAGTTGTACATACAAATGCATCATTACTTGCATGCATTTTGCAGTTGACCTGCAAATAAGATTGCAGATATAATCACTCATTTTACCAGATAGAAGATGAATTTGTTAAAAACATGGCATTATAGTGACAGTTAGGGTTAAAGCAATACTACGTGCCACATGTATTTAGAGTAAAATCAGTGCGTATCAAATGCCAGTTATTTTTAATGCATCTACTATGACTTTTGTTTAAACTTTAAACCCTTTTTTCTGCTTTCACTGACTTACTTTCACCACGAGTGTTACTACATACAACACATTGGACCAAGATACAGTAAGTGTGTGGGATATTTCAGTGCAGAGCAGTGTAATCCCAGGTGTTGAGGACATTGATGTTTTACTTCTTTTGTTTGTTTGTTTTTCAGTGTAGTAATAAAGCTCAGCAGAGTCCAATGGACCTTTCAAAAACAGGCTGTGCTTTTATTGAGTTTTTAAGTATGCATGCGTAAACAAATGCTAGCAATCGCCTTCCCTGGCATTGGAATTAATTATCTGCTAATTAATCAGACCTCAAACGAAACTGGAAGGAGACTTGTACTTGATTTTCATTCCAATTTTGATGAGGGCTGAAGTCTGAGTGGTCAAGCTCACGTTTATGTTGTTGATAAAACGAAAACAAGTCTTTGTTTTTGATTGACGACATGCAATATTTTCAATAAATAGTATTTATTTACAGTTTGCATTGTTTTTTATTTTGTTTGTGAAATGAAAGATCATTGGTGAAACGGCTGCAGAAATTCTGGTCATTTATATGTGTTCGTGTTTATAACACAATCAGAGTTTAAAATATAATGCACTGTTACACATGCAACTTATTGTTAATGCAGTTGTTTTTTGGAACACTTCGGGCCCCTTATTACCAACTGACTATCTTTTAAACATCACAGCCTAGCTGAGTATTGTTACTAACAATATTCATTTCTTTATGCCCACAGTGTACTGATCTTTACATTATACTGCCGGTGCCACGTCACAAAGCTCAAATCATCTCAAACAGTTTAAGACAAGCTGCAGAACACAGGTCATTCTTAAATGTCCTCCATACAATGTACAAAAGACTTTCATGATAATACACCAAGCTTTATTTATTTATTCACAAAAGGCTTATCCAGTCCAAAAAAACAATAAGAGCTCAAATAAAATAAAAAAACACTGCTGAGTGAAATTTTAGCTGTACAAACTGACACAATTACAATCAATAAGAAAACTCTCTTGTCTCTCCAACAGGGTACTAAAGAACACGTTATTGTTCACACACTGTTTACATTCATTTAAAGCCAGAGCATGCAATACTTAAATGATAAACGATTAGGCGTTAAATGAGGGAATTCCATCAGCTTAAATAGCAAGTAGCTCAGATCATTTCCAACAGGTAAGTTTGTCATCGCCAGGTGTGCTGACAGCAGAAGCAGGAAACGGAGCAAGGACCCACCTCTGCAACAGAAAGTGTGGTTAACCACACACACACAAACACACACACAGGGGAAGCTGGAAGGAAAATGAAGAGGAGGCAGGGACAGAGTGAGCAGCACACAGAGACTGCAGGACCACGACAGTATCCCCCTCTTAACTGGAGCATTTTTTTTTACCAAGAAGCTGGGAGCTAGAGTCTGATGATGGTCAGCAAGGTCCTTTGTCCTGAGGAGGGTGGTCCAAGGGGCCTTCCAGATGCATAGACAGCGACAGAACTCTCACCTTCGAGAGAACAGAGGAGGTTGATTGCCCAGTTAATTTAGTCTGCCTGTTAGTCTACAGATGGAAGCCAAATAATAGACTAACCTGGACCGTGATGCAGACAGACAGAAAGCTCTCGAGGTTGGTGAGTATTCGGGAGTCCGTGCCAAACAGCAGGAAGTTAGTAATTCAATTTAAACTTATCAAAAAAATAAATAAAGTGAGCGCTTGGACCAAAATCAACATGATGAAACAAACTAATAATGGCAGAAAGATGCAGCTGATGTGCACTCCTATCCACCAGAGGGCGGTGGATGTGGTACAACCAGTCTGTGCTGGCCTAGGTAACGCCCTTCTTCCCTTCTTCGCGGCTCTTGTGGCTCACTGACAACAGCACAGACGCCCACAGACCGGTTGTACCACATACTTTGCACACTGCCCCCATGCGACAGCAGGGCGCTCTGCGGGCACACAGACAGCACCGCGGGCGGACAGTCCCGGGACTGCCAGCGGACTGTGAACACGATATACCTGCGGGACCATTAAGTCCGCTCCTCGGTGCGCTGTTTCGGGGATTATCCGCCACAGAGACAGGTATGCTCCACAGTTTGATATGCGCTAACCGATCAGAACAGCCTGCTATCTGCTTGTAATGTTTGTGTGCAGATGTCCTAACTCTATCTGACAGTACTACACAACTCGCTTCCTGATGGTCCTAAAATACGTATACAGTGTTTCGAAACACTGTATACGTATTTTACACGTGTCTCTCAGTGGGAAGACAGAAGAAGATCTTCTTCTGTCTTCCCACTGAGAGACACGTCGCAAGGAAAAGGGAGATTTAAGAATTTAGAAATAGTTAAAATGATTTCTTCCTCGTGAATATAAAAGTATACTTTACATGTCTCAAACAACCCTGGTCACAAGTTGCACATTTGCTACAAGGAAATTAAAATGAGATCCTACGGACTTAAGTTACGGTACTGTGTCTGAAAGTCTGATTCCAAATAACTTGTTATTGTCCTCATAAGATTTTCCAAAAAAAGATGACCTAACCCCCCCCAACAGTCGTGTGTGGATGGGTCAGGGATTCGTGAAATCTAACTGTGCTCCTTCCAGCGCTCGCTCACATGTCACACACAGTGGAAAGAGGGGACAACCAAGAGTGAAATATACTCTTTAGAGTTTAGATCTACTATGTAAATTTAAGATTTATTTTGATGTTAAACATTTGTAAATG